AATAATCTTACCAATATTATTACTACATGCTGAGTCTGTTAGTTCTTTTACCCAATGAGCAAACCTAAGAGTGGTCTTGGGTCCCCTCGCCCTCATGTTTGAAGGACCTCGACTCATGAAATATGTTGCAAGCACTGTTTGGGAAAGGGAAGGATGAAGGGACGGGGGATGACAAAACTGGTGCTGTTGGCTGGAGTCATTCGTGGTATGCAACAGCAACCGAGCTACTGTCTGTAGGTAAGAGGTTTACCTGTGCAGTTTGAAACTGAGAAATCCAACCCCATGAGAGTAGGCTTGGGGATTCTCTCTCTGACTGCTTTTGGCCCAGCTGGCTAGAGTAGGGGTAGAAACCTTGCAGCCAGGGAACAGCCTTTGGTTTTTATTCTTTTCCCCCCGTGGGAGGAGAAAGAGCTGAAACATTCCTAAAGGTGAGCTTTGGATGGACCAAAAATAGTAAAAGTTTGTATTGCTCTTTCTTCCCAGTAGGAAGAAAAAAGTTAATCAGTTCCCAGAGGAAAAGGAAAAAAACAAACTTGTTCTAGTCATTTCTTCAGCCCGGTTGCTGCCAAGGCTGGAATAGCCTTTCCCTCCCCCAACTCTTGCATTTTAACTCAGAACTTCCCAGGCAGCTAATGTTAACCCTGTAAGTGCTGAATTTACCGAAAAGAGTTTCAGTAAATTTGCGATGAGGGAAAAAAGGCTTTGTGTTTTGTGGCTATTACTTTGGGATCTATGATGAAGACTAACATAAATCATTACATGCTTATAATTTCATAAATTCTAGTGGGATCATCTCAATCAAGAAAAGCTTCCAAAATAAAAGAAAAAAGTGTTAGTGGGACACAACTTTCTTGCTTTTTGCAGCTTGTGCAGGGGGTGGAATTCAAAATTTTTGAGTATTGGAAACAGAACAGGTCTCCATCACTCACGATGTTTGCTATGATGTTCACCTTTCGGAGCCTCTGGAAAAAGGGAGATAGAATAAAAAGAGAGGCAATCTCCAGATGGAGGCACACTTTTGGAGTTTGAAGAAGCTTAATGAGCCCTTGTGAAGTCAGATGTCTGATGCTCAGAGGCTGATGATAGTTCAGGCCAATGTGCCTATTTTTAAGTGGGTCAATTAGAATTCTACAACTGACAAGGCAAAAAGGCCGTGGAAAGCCTTGCTTGTCCCAACGACTGGCTGGCCCTTCTGTGTCTAGACTTTACTGAAAGAAAAGCAACGGACTCTTTTGAAATCTAGAATGCACAGATCCTAACTGCCTGGACCTGACTTCAAGCTGAAGTCTCGGACTGTCTGCTGCTGAGTTGTTTCAGCCTAGGCTTGCGCTGTGCTGAACTGAATGAGGGTGTAGGCTGTGTGAACAGAATCCAGACTCTGGGTCCTTTGCACATGCAGGACACCCTTGTGTAAGGCTTTACAGTATGAAAACATAATGAGTGCCCGATGTGACTCTGGGTCACAAACAAAGGCCCACAGGAAAGGGCATTTTTCTTACTGACCATCTGAAATATAGCAGGAGATAAGCTCTATATTTTTTATTGTAGAGGAGAGAAGAAAAATCTTTTCCTCTATCCATCTTAGGTTCTTTGACTGGAGCCCTGCCCATTAGATTTACAAAAAAGATTAACAAGAGAAAAACAAACAGAAGTTTCTCAACATGTGCTTTATGCATATTTATGAAGGTACCCACTGATGAGTCACTCAAAGGGATGGTTAGAACTTGGGCTTATATAGCATCCTAACAAAAGGATGATACATTTGTAGAAAAATGAGGAGACAAAGGGGAGAGACTTTGAGCTTCTAGGGGATGCAAATTGCGGGAAGGTAAGTACATGGGAAAAACTAATGGAAGATAAGAGTTAGGTGGTAAGGTTTTTTTTGTGTACTCTTTCCAGTGCCATCTCCTCTCTGGTTCTTATCTTTTTCCTGGTACAGGAATGGGGGTGTGGGAGGGGTGCGTATCTGCATGGAGAATTTATATTCTGCTTTTAGGCAGTTGAAGGAGGGCAGATAGCTCATCCTATGTCTGCTTTTTATCAAATGCTTTCAGCTCAAAATAGGCCTTATGCCAAAGTGACATATTTTTAGGATGGCATACTCTGAACTCTTTCATGGTAGAGAATATAGTTTCATTTCTGACTAGTGATTCCTGTTGAAAGCTGCAAGTCAGGGTAGGACACATCACAGGGAGTGTGACCCCCTCCTCCCACCCCTGACAGATGGAACATTTGACCTTGCTTCTGGCTCTCTCACTGCCTTGGACTTGCTATTTTCAACTTTAGGAACAGTTGCAGTCTGCGAAGATGGATTGATATCCTGACTCTATGTTCCTCACCTTTGTCCTAATATGCCCACCTTAGTAAGGTACATAGTCTGATTATTAAATACAGTGACACTAGAAAATGGCCAATTTTTCTGGGCTCACTATATAAATAATCAGGATGGATGAGTAGGAAGTGATGTAAACCCACTTAAATTTTTTTTTTAAAGATTTGGGACTTTGTTTTGGCCCATCCCTGAAAACAGTGTCTCTTCCCAGATGAGTTGTATAAAGCGAAAACACTTTCGTCCCTCTTGCACATATATAGCCTTTCTATTGGAAAGGCCTGGGTGAGAAAGTAGGGGATAATTGGACATAATGAAAAGTTATGATTCCTCAATGGAACACTTAGATTTGTAACAATGAAAAAAAGTAAAAACTCAACACCTAGGGAGCTTCAGAGGAGGGGAGAAGCATTAACCATTTTTGTTCTTCAGAATTGTTCTTGGAAGCTTTCCTTCCTTTCTCCCCAGGCCACCTTTCCAAATCTCTGCTAGTGCTTTGAATTCTGACTGCTGAGCCTGTGAGCACAAGGCACAGCAACGGGGCCTGAGGTGGGGGGGAGGGGGGAGGCGGTAATGGGAGGTGGCAAGGGTGGGAGACAGCTCCTGAACTTTTGCCCAGAAAACCTCAGATGTCATCTTTACTCACGAGGCAGATGAACTGGTATCAGGGATGAGCAAATGTTTGGAACTGCCAGGCAGTGTCTCTGAAACCAAGGACTCAACTGAATTTTTGAACTGGGCTAGAACACCTAGATGGGAGGTCCCACAGTGGAAGGCCACATGGAAGAGCCTTTTAACCTGTACTTCCTACGGTATATCCTTCTTGGGCTACTTGAATAATTGTAAACTCTGTTCCCAGGGTGTACTGTGTGTGTCTTCAGGGACTGTACTTCTGTGTGTGCCTGGTGACCATGACAGTGCCTCAGCCCAGGAAGGCAGCCAGGTCAGCTTCAACTTACTGGCTAGAGCTGTGCTGAGCCACCAGGTAAAAAGAATAATACAAAAAACTGAAAGCGGAAGTGACCTGGACTTCCAAAATAGGCCTTTATAATTAGTAGGATGGCTAAATTCAAGATCCCTAAAGGGTATAACTGAGGTTAATACTGCAAAATCTCACCCTATTGTGTAAGATCCTACTGATAATACTTTAGCTGTAAAGACACCTTGGCTAAGGACCATGGGGCTGGACTGTGTTAGAAGAGTGTTAGTACAAATTAGTAGTTAGAAAACAGTCATGGGAATTTAGAATACAGCATAAGGAACATAGTCAATATTATTGTAACAGCTGTATATAGTGCCAGATGGGTGCTAGAGTAATTGGGGGGATCACTTCATAAATTATATAAATGTCTAACCATTGTACTGTATACCTGAAACTAAAACAATTTTAAAAATGTGAAAAAAAAAAAAAGAATAGAATTGCTTTGAAATAGGGAAAAAAAAGTGTTAGGTTGGAGACTATGATGCTTAAAAAGGCCTGCTTGCTAGGCTGACCCTTAGTTGACATCTGAGAACTTGGATTTTCGGAGTGTTCCTACCATTCTCTAACAGATAAGCATGGCTTATTGTGCCTAAAGTGCTTGAGCAAATGATGTGGTTAATGCCAACCCCTGCTTTCCTTCTGGGAATCTGGAACTTTGGTAGGTGCTAAGCAGAGGGTCCCTATGTGACTAATTCCCAAGAAACCATTAGGCATAGAGTATCTAAATAGCTTTACAAGGTTTGTGACAATTTGATGCTGGAGGAATTAAGCAGATCCTGTATGATCCTACTGGGAGAGAAATCGAGTAAACTTGTGCCTCATTTTCTTTATTCTTGGACCATGTGTCTTACCTGTGCTGATTTTGCTGTGTATCTTTTTGTTGTCATACATCTTAGCTATGAGTATGACTCCACGTGGAGGCCTATGAGTCTTTCTAGTGAAAATCACCAGACCCACGGGTTGTCTTGGGGACTCCTGATTCCAAATTCCTGGAATTGTCACTGAAAAAACAGTGCAGCCCTATTAGGAAATAACTCCATCTAGTGGAGCAAAGGAGAGGAAAGACAGGCCGTGACTGTGGATCTCTCTTCAGCCTACACAATTTCCTGTGAGGATTCCCCTTTGTAAGGCTCTTCTTCCACAAATGGCTGCCCTCAAAGTCCCAAACCATGAGAATACTGGCTAGGAACATAGCATCATTCTCAGAGAAACCTCAGATTCCAGGTTGATCCCCTTGGTGATCCCTATTGCTGGTATATTTCCATATAATTTAGGAGAGAGAAAGGAGCAGGGACATCAGACTCTTCTGTTTATCTCAAAGTGGAGCCAGTGTTTCTCCATAATCATAGGTGAGCGTGTGTGTGTAGAGGGGGGTACTGTGAAATGATATTTGGCAGGGAGGCAGTTGCCAAGTTATTCCTGGGTGCACAGCAACCCTAGTCTAGAGCAGCAGTTGCTAACTGGGCACGGGGTTCAGCTGAGGCTCCTGAGCTGGAATGAGAGTCATAGTTCCCATAGTCCTGGGATGGGCTGGCTACAGGGTGAGTCTTAGTTCCAAGGTGATTCTGAAATGGGCATGTTGGGAATAGCATGACATGGCTGTAGCAATCACCCACCATCCCTAGCAAAAGAAACTTTGGGAATTAACATTACTCTTAGTCACACAATTACACATGCGAGCCACACAAATACTTCTATCCCAAATGGAAATTTTAAAATTTATTGTAGAATTACTATCAAGAACACATGTTAATTCCAGTGTCACTATCAAGAATACACACACACACACACAGAGCTGAAGTTAAGAGCAACATATAAGGAATATTGCGGGATTAGTCAAAAACTAGTCTTCCAGGAGGCTCAGGAGGTTAAATCGTAATGGGATGACAGATGTGAGATTCTGTTGGTAGGCAGAATGATGAACCTTGGCAAGAAGGGCAGAAAGGGGGTACTTCTGGTGAACTGAGTGCAAACTGAGAACTAATGACATCGCACAGGTCTGAAGGGCTATTTCTAGTAGTAATTCATTATAAGACCTGCAGACTAGGGAACTGTGTGTGGCTGGTATGGACAGGGGAGACAGACATGAGAAAACAATTCTCTAACAATGTATCTTAATGTAATAAGCAAGACTACCTTGTTCAGCAAGCTCAGATTGGGGAACTCTTCCCTTTCCACCCTTTGCCCCATCATGACTACCATTCCAGGCTTCCTCCTCTCTGTTCCTTTCCCTCCTTTCTGTTTCAGCTCAGGGGTCAGGGAGCTCTCTGAGAGTGGAGCTATCTGCACCCTGGCCAACTTCCTCACTGCCTTCTTTGAGTTCTGACGCTGGCAAGAAAATGCTGCTTATGCCTGAAGGGCTGTCCCTTAGCAAGCGGCCCAGTTCCTTCTCAAAACATTCGGCTGCTTGCAGCAGATATCCATTCTTCTTGTGAATTAATCCTTGGAGATACCAAGAATTTGGTGCATTTTGTGGAAGCTGATTTTCAGCTACGTTCTGTGGTTGGCATTTCTCCTTTTCTTTCTCAGTTGATTTTATGCTTATGGACAAATCCTTTAAATAATGTTGAACAGGAGTGTCTTCAGACTTCCCATGATACTCCTGAAAGTTGCAAGAGAGCTGATGGAATTGTTTCATCTCAGCATTGGGCAGCTCCTTGTTGAAAGCTGTCTGATAACATTCTGTTTCTGGCTCAGCGAGATCAGAATACGCATTCAGAGGATTTAGTACCTTCTCAATAGCTTTTTCTGAATAGTCTCTAGCATATTTGCTTAGTTCTTCTATCTTCTCTCTATTCCAGCTAGCGTTAGAATACCCTGTGTTCTCAATTTGTCTGACTTTCGCAGTATAGCAGCCTGAAATCAGGTAACAGAGGTGGCTATTGTTTGGCATGGATTCCAATGCTTTTTTTAACAGTTCAATAGCTTTGTCTAGATCACCTTTCTTTTGGTAAAATTTGGCTGCACTGTGAAGGATGTCAGTTTGGCAAGGAGCTTTCTCCAGGGCCTCTATAACCAATGGTTCCCCTTCAGCTTCTTTATTGATCTTTTGCAATTTCAGGGCCAAGAGAACTTTGATATACTGGTTGTCAGGACTGAGCTCAATGGCCTGCTTCAGAACACTGACAGAGCACTGCTTCTGTGGTTTATCATCCAGACAGTACATCGCAATTGCCAGTCCGGAGGAGAATTCTGGGTTCTTGGGTTTCTCTTCCAGAGCCTTCTCAAAACAAACCTTCGCCCTTTCATTCCACTTTCCTCCACATTGTAGCAGTGTCCAACCTTCTTCAGAGTCAAGCTCAGGACACTCAATACTGTAAGGGTTTGAAAACTTCTCGCATAGGTGTTTTACCTTGTCTACATATACCTGAGCTTCTGAGAACCTGCCTAGGTGATAGTAGACCCAGGCGTAGTTTCCCCAGGTGACCAGACTTCGGATTTCTACCTGGTCAGTGCGTTCTCGTTGGATTAATTCTTCAGCTTGCTGTAAGTATTCCAGGGCTGCCTCGTTTTGACCATGCAGGTGTTTTATGTAGGCCAACAAGTTGTACGTGGTAGCTTTGCACTCAGTGTTTAAAAATTCAATCTGGTTACGCACTCTATCTTCTAGATCATGTGAGAGACTGTCTTTCTGAAATAAATTCCACGTGAAATGGCATTTCAGCTGTGGAAGAATTTTCTCCAGAGAGTTCTTGCTGCTGACCTCACTGTGGAGAAAATAAAATGGTCACTGTGATGTACACCTGCCAAGTAGTGCACCCTGTCAAGTGTGCCAACCTGACAGCCATGAGATGCTCAGATATTTAGTTAAACATTAGTTCTGGGCATGTCCGTGAGGGTATTCCTGGAAGAGATTAGCATTTGAATTAGTAAACTGAGTAAAGCAGATTACCCTCCCCAACATCCAATCCGTTGAGGGACTAGACAGAGGAAGGGTGAATTTGCTCTCTCTGCCTAGTTTCTTGAGCTGGGGCATTGCTCTTCTCCTTCCTTCAGACTGGGACTTTTACCATCACACTTCTGGATTCTCAAGCCTTCAAACTTGGACTGAAACTTACATCATTAAGTCCTCTAGTTCTTAGGCTTTTGGACTCAGAATGGAACTACACCATCAGCTTTCCTGGGTCTGCAGCTAGCAGACAGTGGATCATGGTATGTCTGTTTCCATAATCATGTGAGCCAATTTCTCACAATGAATCTCTCTCTCTAACACACACACACACACACACACAGATAGATAGATATACAGATAGATAGCTATTTGAGAATATTTTAACAAATAAGGGCAGTACAAAAAATTTGATATGGGAAGTAAAAAAAAAAGCGGAAGAAAATAAATTACAAATTAGGTAGAAATAATACAAAAGAAGGTTAAAATGCTCCATGAGGAAAACTAAAAGGTGTCCAGTTGTATAAAGATTCTTTCCTTGCAAGAAATAGGCATAAAGCTGAAGACCTAGTTTGGTTTCTCTGCTGAAAACATGCAAAATAACTTAGAAAAGCCAGCCAAGGTGAAATGTGAGCCCATTACTTGTACCTGCCTACTTCTGATCTGAGAAAAGTTGATGACTACAGCACAAGGAAAAGCAGATGGTAGGGCAGCCAAAAGTTTCTATCCTACGTCAATCTTTAAGTAAAAGCTGAAGAAAAACAAGCCCTCAGTGAAGTCTGAGTTCTGCAGTTGTCTGACTGAATTTCCTCCATTGTAGTCCTCAAAATAGTTTACTTCTTGGCCAGCAAAGGCACAGAAGAGCCTGAAACAACTGTCTTTAGCAAATGCCTGCTGCCTCTTCTCAGCTTCTGTGGGTTGGGCCTGATATCAAGGAGCAGCATATTAAATATCGGTTCTGTTTTTCTGGAGAACCTGACAACCCTAAGTTTTCCTAGACAGAAGAGCAGGTGCTTTCTTCTTGCTTCTTGGACTCTCCTTTTTATAGCTGTGGTCTGTGCAAGAACGCACAAAGCACAACCCTTCCTCTGTGTGAGCAGATATACAGGAGGTGAGGTGAGGTGAATGAGAGAATAGTGAGATCTCTCTTGTCCCGCTCAGGACTAAGTCAGGGTTCAGTCCTCAAACATTCTGGGTAAGATTTATTTAGTCACCCAATGAGTCTTTACGGGGCTACCTTTTTTGTGTCGCTTTGTTAGTTTTGGGAGACACTAAGTAAAATTAAGGTTATCCTAGCCCTCTCTGTCCCCAGGAGCTCAAAGTCTGGTTAGAAGGAGTTGTGAAAATAAACAAAATCCCAGGGATGTTTGCCACCATGCTATGTGATTTAGTCCTTTTCCCTTCATCTTTTCCACCACTTCTGTATGGTCACACACAGACCCATGAAGTCTGGTTGAAGCAGTCTCCCTGACATAAGCCAGATCCCCAGAGAGAATAAATTTGTTTTGAGAAACGAACAAAATTGGCAAATTTGTGTTTTGTTGTTGGAAGAAACTGAGGGAGATCACTGCCTTATTTATTGATAAGTAGGTTATACAAGTTCACAAAGTATATTCTCATATTTTCTAGGTCTTGAGGCGTATTTTACTAAGTTTGTGCTGCTTTCTTACCAGTAGATGCTTGGCACCATAGGACTGAAAAGAACCTCCCAAAATCATTAAAACCAGTGTTGACCATGTTTTTGATTTCACAGACCAGTATAATTTCAGAAAAATTATAAACCAAATAGGGCTGCCAACTTATCTGGTAATACAAGGACATGGAAAGAACTTTCATCCCCAAAGACACCAACCATCTATTCTTACCAACGTTTTATTAGGGAGAGAGGGAGAGAGGAAGGGGGAGAGAGAGAGAGAGAGAGAGAGAGAGAGAGAGAGAGAGAGAGAGAGAGAGAGAGAGAGGAAACATTTTTATTATTATTGACAATAGTCCATAACTGTCAATAATCACTTTAAATGTAAATGCACTAAATTCTCCAATCAAAAAGACGTATAGTGGCTGAATGGATAAAAAACAAGACCAAACTCTATGCTGCCTTCAGCTTTAAGGATACACGCAAACTGAAAGTGAGGCAATGGGAAAAGATATTCCATACACATCAAAATAAGTTCAGGGGCAGCTATACTTATACTGGACAAAACAGACTTTAAGCCAAAGGCTGTAAGAAGAGATGAAAGTCACTGTATAATAATGAAAGGTCAATACAAGAAGAGGATATAACATTTATACATAGTTATGAACCCAACATACAAGCACCTAAATATATAAAGCAAATACTAATAGATCGAAAAAGAGAAATAGCTAGTAATATAATAATTGTAGGGGACTTCAATACCCCTTTTCAATAATGGCTAGATCATCAGATAGAAAATCAATAACAAAACATTGACATGTTGGACCAGATAAAATTAGGCATTTACAGAACATTTCATCCAACAGCAGCGGAACACACACTCTTCTCAAGCGCACATGGAACATTCCACTAGACCATGTTAGGCTACGAAATAAGTCTTAATAAAATTTAAGAAGAGTAACATTATATCAAGCATTTTTTCCATCCAGTATTATTCGGACATAAAAAAGAAGAAAATTCTGCCATTTGACAACATTGATGGCCCTTAAGGACATTATGCTAAAAGAAATAAGCCAGAGAAATAGAAATACTGAATATGACTTACATGTAGAATCAAAAGAAATAAAAATTTAAAAAAATCAAACTCATAGAAACAGAATAGTAAAATGGCTGCTAGGGGTAAAGGGTAGAGGAAATAGGAAGAGGTCCTTAAAGAGGTACAAACTTTCAGCTGTGAGATGAACAAAGTATGATGCTTTAATGTATAACTGGTGACTATAGTTGATGACGCTGTACTGTATAACTGAAATTTCTGAGAAAGTAGAATTTAAATGTTCTTCTACTCCCCAAAAAGAATATGTGAGGTAATGAATGTGTTAATTAACTAGATCGAGGGGGAATCCTTTCACAATGTTTATGTATATCAAATCACTACGATATAAATATCTTACAATTTTTATGTCAATTATACCTCGATAAGGCCGAATTTTCAAAAATTTTTCTTAGCAATTCTTATCACTTTTTCCTCTATGTGTAAGTACATGAAATACTCTGCTTTTTCTTTACCTTCGGGTTTTCATTATATATTTATTATATGTTGACATATTTATGATATTAACATATTTAACTGAGTAGATCAAAACAAAACATCTGAAGATAATTCCGATTTAATAAAAAACACTAATGTCTTTCTAAAAATCAATACGCCATTTGTCAAGATTTCCTCACTTACTAATTTATATCATGTGTGCTTAAAAGTTGCTCTAAATATTCTTAATATGTAGATGTGCAAAATGTAATAAATCACTGAACAATAATTAAATTCAGATATTTAAAGGGAAGACAAGGAAGCGGGTAGAATGATGGCTGCAGTAACTTGATAGAATGTCTCTGTTCAGGTTCAACACGGGGAGTTGAATGCCCTTCCTACCTGGAGATTGCGTATCTGGCAGAAAACATTAAAAAGGTGGAAGTTCCTCTAGCCCAGGCAGAGATTTCTCAAGAGCCTCAAGTGCAGCCATGAGGTTTTGCTGACCAAAGCAGATACAGGCAGCATTGTTGCTCCTTGGGAAATATCTAGAATCAACCCATTTAGAGTCTTTCCTCCTTCTCCTGCTCACCGACTCCAGCGTAGATGCCACGTCTCCTTCCAGGGCCTTGTCAAAGCCATTACAAGAGCAATATCTTTAAATTTTCAGAAAGAGGTCTCATTTAAATGGTAAGAATAGGAGTTCCCAGGGAAATCTCTGAGGCAGCTGGTACCACAGATGCTCTGGTTATGGTCCAGCAGATTACACGAAGGGACAGGCAGACCTCATGCCAGTTAGTTGGTCAGACCGGGCACAACCCATCACTTCGAAAAGTGAGCCAAGGAACTCTCCAGAGCAGTACTTCTTAAACTGTGCCCACGGACCAAATCATCTGAGGAGGGTGAGGTGTTGGACTCAGACCATACTGTGAGTAGCAAACGTCCAGGAAGAGTTTTGGGAAGTGATCTCCAGTCACCAGTTTTTCATCCCTAAAGCACCCCTCAAACAGGCAATTCTTGTTTTAGGTCAACATCCTTCTACCCCTCCCACTCCCCACACACTCCGAGCTTTCTCCACTTACATTTACACACATACAAGGCAGGGAGCATTGAGTGTGTATAGAAAGTGACAGTGGTCCTCTTTAAATATGTGTTTGC